AGTTTTCCACGGCATTACAGCTTGAAATGACTTTTTTWATGTCCAGAGTAGGTTAATAAATGATCCTTATCAAGGAAATTGACTTTCTTTTGTCCATTAATCTGAACATTATCACCATGAAGGATGATATTATTGCATGCGATGTGTAGCGACAAGAGAGCTATTGTTTAATTGTGCCTTTTCCTTACTCTTTTGTCGTTAAATACCATAACACTTTATTCACACCTACCATCAAAAGCCTATTTTAACTCTCATTGTAATGCTCTGTTGCTAGAATGATTATACAATCACTTTTTAAAAACTCCTGATGTCTGGCCCACAGAGGTGTTACTAATCTAAGTAGGTCCTAAGGGATCGCCTCGAATTTCAGTTTTTACTAAAAACACCAGCTGCCTAATCTAAGAAAAACATGTCGTGTTGCACAACGTCATTTCCACATGTTTGTATCACTGTCCTACCCCCTCCCCCCACAAATGAAGATATGTACACATTTGCATTAATTAAGCAGATGCTGATCTCCAGGTTCTAGCCAGTAAAGATATAAGCATTCTTTTTTTGCACGGATTCACGAAAAATAACGGGGTTACTTTCATCTATCAACTACCTTGTTTCCTTTATATTCTAAAAAAGTTTTGCTATCGAAGATCTATCTGATCCATTGAAGCGTTACATATTTGCTTTTAAGTCTTATTAACAATTCTACATAAACATACATGTCTGGTTCTATTTTAGATATCTGAGGTTTTTTAATTTTGCCATAGTTCTAAAAAATTTGCTGTAGATACATTTCTCGACTATAAGATAATCCTTGATGTTTTTAACCTGTTTGATTACTAAGGGATGGATGCAGAGAGTAATGCATGCAGGGATGGATGGATGCAGGGAAGGATGCCATGCAGGGGAGATGGAAGAATGGATGGAACCATTATAAATTCAGGGAGGGAGGAATACAGGGAGGGAGGGATGCAGCAGGGAGGAATGGATGCAAGGAGGGATGGATACAGGGAGGGATGCAGCAGGGAGGGATGCAGCAGGGAGGGATGCAGCAGGGAGGAATGCAGCAGGGAGGAATGGATGCAGGGAGGGATGGATGTAGGGAGGGATGGATGGATGGATGCAGGGAAGGATTGATGCAGGGAGGGATGAAGCAGGGAGGGAGGGAGGTAGGGATCACGGGTGGGTTGACCAATTAAATGGACGGAAGGAAGGATAGATAGATGATTGAAAAACTGGAGCGATGAAACACATGGAAAAGATGGATAGACAGAAGTGGATTGATGGGCGGACGAAAGGTCGACAGATGGGTAAATGGATGAGATGTAAATGAAATGGGATTAAATGGGATAGGGTGAACAGACTAAGATAAATGGACTGACTAGGTTGCTTCCAAAACACGAAATCGTCATTGTTACTCTTAATATACGATCAACGCTTTAAACATTCTGTAAAAAGTAATAAAAAAATAAAAAAAGAAAGAAAGAAAGAAAGAAAAGAAAAGAAAGAGACGTTTCAGTAACGTATAAAGTCAAACTCCATCAAATACATCATAAAAAAGCAAATCYCGCTAAGGTCTTTACTTATTGATTTGAATTAATGCAATTACCTAAGCATTCGTCCTTGCGCTTTTATTATGTCGGACAAATGAAGCAATTAGTGTAAGCCCGCTCAACGCGCTTCTTATCTATACGTCTTGGAGTGGGCGTAACAGGCACGGTAACGAATGCATTTCCCTAAAACGAAATTAGTATCGAACAATACCTGGATCTTCCCTTAATTGATCAATATGTGGTAAATTAAACCAAGTGCATTTAAAAAGTTTGAGGGAAATATAGTATCACTATTTGAAAGTATTAAGAACTTGAGAATCGTAACAGAATGAGATATATGATAAATGAATTGCATAATTGTCAAGATGAGAGTATGTGGACCGCGTGGCACTAATGAAATAGTAGAAGATAATATAGGTAAGTTGTAGTGCTTGGGAACGAGGTTATTCCGGGCGAAAGCCCTTGGAATTAAATTCGGAAAAATTAATTTCCGACCTCGCTGGGATTCGAACCCACGACCTTCGGAATTGTACTACCGATGCTCTACCAGCTGAGCTAGAGRTCAGACTGAGAGCAGGCCACGCGGTCCACATACTCTCATCTTTGCATCATAATTACCGCGACCTAACATCTATTTCACCCCGGCCTGCTCTCAGTCTGACCTCTAGCTCAGCTGGTAGAGCATCGGTAGTACAATTCCGAAGGTCGTGGRTTCGAATCCCAGCGAGGTCGGAAATTAATTTTTCCGAATTTAATTCCAAGGGCTTTCGCCCGGAATAACCTCGTTCCCAAGCACTACAACTTGCATAATTGTCAGTTACGTTAAAATTAAGAGCGAAGATTYAGAAAATAGAACTAACTGGAAGCAAGATTAAAAGTTGAATTTCTACGACATTGCAATGGAGGTGTGCATAAGGCACGCAATGTTGGTTTGTTATTTAACATGTGGCTAGTAGAACCTTCTAGAACATCATGATCAATGGTAGTATTGTATAGTGCAGGTAGCCAGCACACAGGGAGCCCAAACTAACTCTGATTCCATTTTCTGTATGTTTTGTTTTAAAGGTTTGTTAGGAAGGTTTCAATGAGAAAAAATATTCTTGCTTGCTCATATCAAACAATATTTTTCTTTTCTTTTCTTTTCTTTTCTTTCTTAATCGCTTCGAGATAAGTATAATTCGTTTCCGCTTTACCTTTTGATCACTACTTTCTGAATACTTCTGAATAGGTTTACAAGATGTTCATATCATTGGAATTTTCCTAGCTATTTTRGTTTTCTGGATGGATCTCAATGATAAGAAATCCTATAGGCTTCTCTGATTTTCATCTTTTTTTGCCGTTAATCAAGGCTTATATCATTAGAACTACTTAGATCGCTGTGATAAATGAGTTTGTATACTGAACTCAGTTAATAGACCAGCATGAACCGAGTCAGGAAAAGTGAGTCAAACTTATGGAAAAACTAAAAAAAAACTCATTATATATAAATGCGAATCTTAAATATCTTTGTTGAGCTTTTTATCACACATTTTTACTTTTTTTTTTCCATTCTTTTCGGCTGATTTTTTTTTTTTTTTTTTTTGAATAAAATGTCAGTCATTGAGTGAATACGTTAAAAAAATAAACCAGATGTGAAACACCTTTAATCTTTTACAACGAATGAATTTACCACTGACTGAAAACGACAATACACACTAGACAGCTGCCTTTTTATCAAAAGGTCGACTCATTTTTTTTTTAACCAATTAATCATATTTTTTTTGCTGATTAATAAACCCACGCTTGCCATTGGTTTAAAAATACAAAAACAGCGAACTAAACAAACAATAAAAAACAAATTACAATAACTGGTAAATTAAAAAAAAAAAAAGACGAAATATAATAAAAGAACATGGCTAACAAAACTACAGCAGGCATTGAAAAAATATTTTGTCTTCGTAAAGTTGAAGTTTTACAAAAATAATTATTTTCTTTAAGAAGCATTAATAGTTGCTACGTTGAAAAGAGTTGTCAATACCTTTTACCTTTCGGCTAGAGACAGTTTGAGGCCAGTGAGCTGCTACCCTGCTTAGCAGAGATTTACTTTTCCCCCCTCTATGCATTGATTAATGTTCAAAAGTTTTGAGTCTAAACTTTTTACTGGTGAGTTAAAAATCTAAATAAAGAAGGACAAAGAAAAAGAAGCAAGGAAAGGAAAGAACACGGAATAAAATAGAATAAAAAAGAAAGAAAACTGAAAGAAATAGCTTTCTCATAAAGGGCGTCAAGCTTATATCGCAACTGAATACGCGAGACAAATTCGGCACTTCATCCTGATAATAATCAGTTCTCCTTCAGTTTATTTTCTTTGCATAATTAAATAAAAAAGCGTCTGTGAATACCATAGAATAAGCTATTTAGACTTCAATCTTTATAGAATTGTTTAATCTGTTTTGTTAGCCAGAGGTTTCAGCAATTGTCGTCGGCGTAGCGGATGAATTATACTGGTGGCTGTATCCGGTGGCTGTAGCCTGAACATTAGTTAGATCCTATAAGAATGCCTTCGGAACACGCTATTACATTTGACTGAGCCTCCTGCTTATCTAATCTTAAAAGTTAATCCTATTTAAGGCCATGCTCTATTTAAGGTGTGTAGTTCAGTGTGTATAAAGATCGTACTTAAGCAAACAATGGTTTTCTTAAGGGTACTTGGTATCATAGCAACAGTAGAGGTTCCACTGGAATGACCCTCTAGCACATTGTCTCTAGGTCTTTGAGATCATTAAGTCCAACGTCTGATAATTAATTGGAAGATTTTTGACTTCGGGCTATAGAGGGGACAGTGGAATTGAATGGTACAAGTGGTCTTGCTGGGAGAAACACCGTTAAAAAGAAATGCGTTCTGTTGTTAATAGTGGTGATGGTCTTTCTTTTCTTCTTTTTTTGTTCTGTTGTTCTGGGGTGTTTTGTTTAGTTTTAATTGTTATCGTTAGTTTGTGTCACACGTAAGCGGAAGTTAAATAAGAATCAGAAAAGAAAGAAATTTGACTAGAATTTAAGGATTTGTATATTTTTTGAAATCGTCCTTGTCTTACGAGGATTGCACTTGTGGCCCTCGTTGCTTGATAGAATTGGAATGCATAAGCCGATTTTTACGGARGGAGGAAAACCAGATAACTCGGTGAAGAAAAGCCTTTAAGGAATTGAATGATACATTTTTWWWAATCGTCCTTGTTTTACGAGGATTGCACTTGTGGCCCTCGTTGCTTAATAGAATTGGAATACATAAGCCGAATTTTRCGGAGGGAGGAAAACCGGAGAACTCGGTGAAGAAAACCCTCGAAGTCCAGCAATGAAACTAAAAACTAACTCTACTCACATACGACATCGAACACGTGAATCGAACCTGTAATCCCCACTACTATTTCTATTAATAACTTGATTTTGATTAATTTTTAAAAATCACGCAATATCAAGAGCATCTCTTGCATTTTATCTATGAAATCTAGTGCATGGCAAAATCTTACATATGCCTAAAGGCCGTTTTAGACGGTATGATTTTCGCCTACAACTATCGTATACAACACGCTCTCGTCTGTCGTAGGCGAGTTGTAGGCTCGATTTACACGCTACGACTCGAGTTGTAGGATGACGCRAGCGTGTTGTATAYGATAGTTGTAGGCGAAAATCGTACCGTCTAAACCGGCCTTAATACACCTTTGTTTTACTGAAACTAAAGTATTAAAATAGTAATTTATCTTTAATTTCCGGTCCTAACATAGGGAACCCATTATCCTGGGGCCAGACGTTATTAATCTTGCTCCAGCGTTTGCGGTTTTTCGTTACTGAGAACCACAGGAAGCAAAAAAGGAACCTCTAGAGCGCAGGGTGGGAACCCATGTAATGGAGACGAGAAAACATGTATGTGTCCTGTACGCAGATGTAAAGAAGGGGATAGGCAGGGAACAAGAGAATTATTAGRAGCATTATGCACACTGTTGTATTTTATTGTGTGAGTGGAGGGGAAGGGGTTGAACTGACATAAGAGGACATGTCCTGTTGGGAAATAGGGAGAGGTGAGTTGTTAGACACATGCTCTGTGACTACACAACCCCACTGCCTTGATATCTAGAGTATATTAGAAGATAGCACACATAACTATACTATACTGCAATTCAAAAATCATTAAAATGCTGGTAGACCCCAGACGGATGGTTCAAAGTCCACCAGTGATGTCAAAACTTGATTGGCTTGTGTACATAATGTCTTATCTACATACACATCAGGCACCATGACGACATTCATACTAGCAGCCCTTGCTGCTGTAACACCATTAGGTGCATCTTCAAACACTAGAACATCTTGTGGTGTTGAGGGGGGCRGTATGAACCTTGACGCTGCTACTTCAAAGATRTCAGGGTTGGGTTTGCCTTGCTTGACTTCAAGGTCATCAGATTTGACCACATGTGACATCAAACTTATGAGGTCACTGTGGTTTTTAACTTTTAAATTGAATTCAAATGTCACAGATCCTGTAGCAACTGCCATTGGTATGCCATGAGAGTGAAGATGTCTTATTAACCTCTCTGCACCTTTTAAAATCAAAATATCTATTTAGTATAACATTAGAAGCAAACAGATGCCAACACATATAAAACTGCTTTAAGTTCAACCCATTTGAGCTGCACCACTGTCATATTTGCCAGGCCCGTAACTAKGGGTGGTCCAATGGTTTGAATAACCCCCCCTCCCCCTATACAAAAAACTGCAATAAGATTCAATAACGCAATAAAATGTTTATCAAGATATAGCATAACTAATAGGTAGAAAAACGAATCTCTCTTTCAAGTTCCTAGCGCTGGGACTGTTTGCAATGGTGAAAAGYGATAATAAGTTTATAAAAAGTTCAAGGTCTTCTCCATTGATGTACCATACTTCAATATAATAAAAYATGCATGAACTACAATTGACAGAAAGGTGACCTGGTCTAAATTAAACAAAAGCACAACAACAAACAAACAAACAAACTGATAATAAGACAGAAATACAAACAAACAGATAAAAAGACAGACAAGCAAACAAACAGACAGACTGACAAGAACAACAAACAAACAAACTGATAATAAGACAGAAATACAAACAAACAGATAAAAAGACAGACAAGCAAACAAACAGACAGACTGACAAGAACAAAAAGACAAACAAGCCAGGAAACAAACAAACAAATCAAAAAATTGCAAAACACCTGAGAAGAGTAAGGGAAACTTGTTTTTTTTTCTAGTATAAATTATCATCACAACACAAACCAAAAAAAGCTTAGAATTTTTAACAGAAAAGACAGGGGAGTCCCATTTCCCGCCATAAATCATATATTTAAAGAATAAGCTAAAATCTAACACAGGGTAATATATATCCAAGATTTCACATGTTTTCTCTGGTGGGATCACTCCCTCCTAACGTGAACAAATCACCTTTCCCTTTGCTCCCATACAACACAATGGGAAAGCAGATCCCTGGCACCTCAGGATCACTCCCATTGGTTACATATTGCTCCTGAACCAATTCACAGACTTATGTATGACATCCCCCCCCCCCTATATTGTAGAGGCAACAATTGCATACCCCCCCTTTCATCAGCCTGCAATAGTTCTTAACACCCCTCAATATATTATAACTCCCCCTAACCACTTTCTCAAAATATCATAACTCTCCCCACCCCCC